GCCAATAGGCATCTTAGATGAACAAATCCTAGACTCCTTGATGGCAAGGTTAATGTCGCTGTCTGCTGATGCAGTCTGTGAACAGTCAAGGTTGGAAAATAAGAGTTGGCAAGAAGGACTTTACCTTTAGAATGTCATTGTTCTTAGTTCTGAGCAATTCTCCATCTTGGAATTCAACCAAGTCCATCTTTGGACACTTGAAACCTACCTGCCCACCATCTACCCCTAATTAAATCAGCAGACGCTCATGAAAGACAGACACTGAGGTTGGAGATGCTAGAATAAGTCTCCAGAGTTGGAGGAGGGCCCTTATTTTGGTGGCGGCACTGGGAAATTGCTAGAAGGAGCTAAGCTTTGGTGCTTGTGATCTGAAAAATGTTCTCCACATTTCTCTGGGTGCTACCCTAATCTGCTATGGTTCTTATCATCCTCTCTGCAATCAGTGCTTCCTACCACTGGGGTAACCTCCTCCACTCCACCTTCCAGCTCAGCAAGGCATGCCCCCCACATCATGGATGGATTTGCTTGCATCCAGTTCTGGGTGCCTGAGCAGTGGAATGCTCCGAGGAGAGCCTGGGATCCTGGGATGGTGATGCTCCAGAAAGCTGGAAGGTGATGCTCTCTGCAGGCACACAGGCTCTGCTTTCTGCTGCAAGGAGAATCAGCCACCATAATTAGCAAAGGGCATGTACCCGGGTCTCTTTTATGAGTCTTGTGCCCAGTGACAAGGAGAAAAGGAGAAATCCATCATGTTGTCCCCTAAGTATAAATACTCCACAACTAATTAAGTGAGGGTGAAATCATCTGTACCATCCATATGATATTTATTTAGAATGATTTGCTCAAGACAGGCCCGGAACCCTGCTCCTTAGGGAGATAACTAGGAGCTGGGCGGAGACAATTTGGGCACTTGAGGAGCAGAAACGAATTGGACTGGCAAGCCGAGAAGCCACCTGAGCCAGGAGTTGGCTGTGGCAAGTGGATGGACATCTGTTGTTTTTGTCTGTTCAGCCCCATACTCCCCCTTTGGGAATCTACTCCTCTTCCACTCGGGTCTCATGACTGGGATGAGTCTGCCAATCACAGTTTCTTACCCATCCCTCTTTCCCCAAGGGTGGGAGCAGGATCCAGGCTCAGCCAATGACAGTGCCTTGTCTGTCTGGTGCCAGGAGAGGCCCAGAGCTGGGCAGATGCCCCAGTCTTTCTTGTTAGAACCATCTCCATTGGCAATGAAGACAGAGGACATTGATTTGTGTATGTGTAAGGACTTTGAAGGACAAGAACCAGGGACTTCTGGGATCTTCTCTCTCTGCCATGTGGGGGTAGCTGTCTGTAGGGGAGAAGAGGATCAAACTGGAACCAGAGAATCCAGGCTCCAGTTTAGTTCTTGAGTCCCCGTTTGTTGCTTTGGTCTTGTACTTTGCATTTTAGTTGTTCTTTCTGTAGTTTCATGACCCAGTAGATTCCCCTCCCGAGTAAATGACTTTAAGTTGGGTAACTGTACTTGCTAGTGAAAGAACCCTGATTAATGTAGATATGAACATAAAAAATTAAGTTTTGAGAATATTTTCTTGTAAGGCTCTGACACTACTGTTCCGTATAGGGCGCTGGGTTGGAATAGGACTTTGTACCTCCACGTGTGAACTTAAGGGGACCTCAGTGGTCACTGCAGCCATTTTCCCATTGATGGGCTGAGCAGACTGGGCCCCATAGCAGGAAAGACTTGCTATGATCACACAGCCAGTAGGGAGCAGATCCAGGGCTACAGAGGGTGTAGTCTCATGGTTTTCGGGCTGGTTCTCGCCATCAGGGTTGGAGCAGTACAAAGTTCCCTGACCAAGCAGTGGGACAGACCAACTAAACATGAATGCACAGATCGATTCTCCAACACTTGACCTCAGGCTAGGCAGGCCCTCTTTTAGCCCCAGTTCTATGTTGCTATACTGCCTCACTGTGCAAGACCAGGGGAGGAGCCAATTATTCTTGTTTTGGTCCCACTCTCCTGAATTGGCCTCAAACTTCCAGCATCCTGGCAGGAAGATCTCAAGCCAACCAAACCATAGGCCTCGCTGCATCCTCCAGATACATGGGTTTTAAAGCATGGGTATCTACACCGCCCCTGGGGCCACCAAAGGCTTATCTGGGGGGATATTCTGAGGCTGGATTTCAACTACAGTAGCTCTGCCAACCTGCGCTTCAAAGTGTCCTTTATACGTTGGGGCTTACTGTATGATTTTTTTGCTTGAAAAAGGGTTCCCCTAAAGAGAAGAACAAAACCTTAAAACCATTAATCCAACGGTCTAAGTAACCATGACTATTCTCTGAATAAAAGGTGGCATGTGACATTTCAAAGAATCAGCAGGAAAAGAATTCCATCTAGCTGGGGCCCCTTTCATTCTCAGAAGTATCCCAGTTTGGATGGTCAATTCTCTGTCCCCATGGGGGATGGACAGGGCAGGTGAGGGAGGACAGGCCAGATTGGGAAGACACAAGGGATTGCTGAGAAGTCACACAGCCACTGCTCCAGAAAGACAGTATTTTTTGTTTTAATTTTAAAATTCTGCATCTGAAAACACAGTATGACAGCGTCTATATACACCTGCAGCTTTTTTGGTATGATACAGTATTTTTAATACATCCACTGTTTTCTGCAAAAAATTTTGCTTTGTCAGACAGAAACAAACTCCCCTAGACAAAAAAATACAGCTAAGGCACAATTTTGTTGTTTTTCTGCTAAATGAAAAGACGGAACAGGTGCAAAACTGGGCGGCTAGTGCAATTGTTTTTTCGAGAATCACATTCCACCGCGAGAAGAAGCATTCGCGTGACTGGGACTTTGATTACGGGTCAATTTCAGATAGTTCAATATCTCTTAAAATACTCCTTTAAATAAATAGCAAAATATCTACATCTTTCAGTGTGTGCCATTGGAATTATCTTTTTTTTTTTAAAACTTTATTTACAGATTCTTTTTTTTTAAAATCAATACATTACAAAATATTTCTGTACAGTTTTATGCATATTATGATCTATAACAAAATAGTTATTTTTAAAAACTATATCACCACATGTCTTTGAAAAAAATGAGGGGAGCGGTAATAACTTACGGTGAGGCCTCTAAAAAAAAATACCCAAACGAACGCCATTGACAACATAATATTTTTTCTAAAAAAAAAAAAAAAGTACGGAACGACTTAGAAGACACAACTGCGCGCCACTCCGGTGAGTTTCCTAGGAAAACCCTGGGGTTGTCTTTGGCCTCGATCAGCCCTGGAGCCATGGGAGGGGCAGCGGCTGCAAAGACCACAGCCTGGGCCGGTGAGAACATGACCCAACCACCGGGGCAATTTCATGTCCTCACTTTCCAGGCAGGAAGGACGGAGAGCTCCATGGAGAGACTCTCCTGATGGACCCTTGAAGGAAGGACAGAAAGTCACCAGGTCTGGGGTGGGGAGCGCTGGGAAGCTGACGACACCTGCGCCCCCACGGCGCCCGCGGGACAGAGAGGGGACAACGTCTCTTCAAGACGACACTAAGGACCCATTTCTATCACATCTGCAAGCTGCAGCTTGGCAGCCCCCGGCGGAGGAGGCTGCCACGGAGAAGCTTCGAGATGCTCTTTCTGCTAGTGTTGGTGGAGATCGGAGGGAGAGGGCGGTCAGCTTTCCGAAAATAACATTAAGGCCACATTTCAAAAAGGAGAAACCTAAGGCTTTTTTTTTTTGTTTGTTTTTTGAGGGGTTTGGGGAAGGAAGGACAAGCCAGTCAGGAGGAGAGGAGAATGGAGAAGATGGGGTGAGGAATGGGGGGCAAGGTGTGGAAGCTGCTTCCCAGGGGGGTCTGCAGGCAGAGGCAGTTGGAATCTTCTCGGCCCGGTGGAAGGAAGAGGGGACGCTTTCTCCCCGCAGGGGGCTTGGCCAGGACAGAACCAAAGACAACGTGCGGGAGAGACACCTGTGGTGCGTGAAAGACGCCCCTCTGCCTGGAGAGGGGCCTATACAGTATCTTGTTTGCCAGGTAAAAAAAATACTTCTGAGCGAGACGAAGACAGAGAGAGAGAGACAGAGAGACACGGAGAATTTGCATAGATTGTACATTCAGCTCAAGCAGATTTGGACACCTCGATCCCCCCTCCCCCTGGTAAACTTCTCAGCAGACACAATGAGGTAGCGCCTGTGGTAGACCCATGGGCAAAGTAAGTAACTGAGGCAGAAGCAGAGGGGACATCCCGTGAGCAAGCCCAGCCCCAGCATGGCTTCTGAAGAGGCCTCCAGAGGTGTGGCAAGGTGGCCGCCAGAACTCGGCTCTGGAGACACAACCCCCTCCTCCTGGACCCTTCCTGGACACCTCTGCCGGGGCCTGATGGGATGCTGGAAGGGGTGGACGGGGCAGATGTGAGCCTCCTTATGTCCAAGGGGCAGCAAATTCTGTCCCTTGTCCCCTTCAGCAGAACTGAACTGGGCCAGGAGAGCTGAACAAGCCACTTCCAGCACGCTTCTCTGTGAGACCCGCTCTTTGGAATTAGATTAGTAAGAGGTTCCTGTTCCCTTCAGAGTTCAACAGCAGTTATTATTTCCACCCTTTCTTAATGCCGGCTCTTCCTCTGCCAGGGCGGTGACTGACCTCATTTTAAACCATCTCCCCAGAGAGTGAGGTTGCTGGCAGTGTAGACTGAACTGTGAAATGTCCTCTTGCCCACACTCTATGAAAAAACTTGCCACCATTTAAAAATCCGATTCCCTCTAAAAATCTGAATTTCTGGCTTCTGGAAGATGCTGCTCTGCTGTGCCTGCATTTTCACAGGCAAACACGAGCTACAGCTGAGCAGCAGCTGCTCTTTTTTTCAAGTGCACGAGAGCCAGCCACAGTCTCCACCACTCCCTATTACCTTATACCAACTGCTTCACGCACCTGTTAGTGTCCTGGACATCATAGGCATTTGTGAGCTGACCATAGTGTGTGCCTTTGATCTGGCAGGCCCTTGCCAGAGCTGTTTTTCATATACCCCCCCCCCCCGCCCCTGGGTGTTGCCGGGGCACTTGTGTCCCAAATCCTCTTTAATTTGGTTGCAAAGAACTAGTTGCTCCTCACACCCCACACCCAGCTGCCACTGCTTCCCTCTACTCGGCACCTTCTGGGCAGAGGCCAAGGTTTCAGCCAGGGCTACTGTTTGCACCTTGAACTAGGACACTGGAAGGAAGCCTGGTTCACCCAGCTCAGGCACCAGCCCAGAGTAGCTGCAATTCGCCCCTTAGGGTGGGTTTGGGGGTCCCGCTCATTCCGTCTAAATATCCCTTAAAGATTAAACTCACCATGGGGAAAAAGTCAGAATGGCTCCACATCAGGTTGGAAAGGTCTTTTTCCAAAGGTGGGGGTGGGGATGCTTAAAGCACTGGGCGTTGTTTGGAGCTTCTGCAAACACTGCTCAGCTCCCTGGGCTGTGGCACCTGGGGCGGCCTCCTGCCCTAGGGGGGTTCCAGGCTTGACGTCACTGGGCTGGGTGGGCAAGCCAGCTAGTATGCGGCCTGCTGACTCCCCATGTCCCCACACACGGACCCCTCAAGTCTCCACCTGAGGTCGCAGGGACCTACAGGGCTCAGCCACAGTCTCGCGGCCGCTGCACGTCACAGGGCTTCCGGAGACCCTGTTCTCAAGCTTGTGAAGCCCCCACGACGCCTCAGCTCAAGGCTGCCTGCCTGGCCTCTAACAGACAAATCATCCTCAGGCTGATAAAAAATAAGTCAAACTCCTCCCTGGGAAAGAGCACTTCTTCTCACATCGCCGCGGGTTGTGTTTGCAGCTCCCGCTTTCTCTCTGCGTCAGATGTAACACCTGCAGTTATTTTCTGGTCCGCAAACAGAGGGCCTTCTGGAACACTCCGTGGCTGCTCAGGGCACCCCCCGCTCCTTGTGGGGCGTGAGCCCACAGTGCCAGCTTTCCGCGGTGCGCAGCTTCACGGGCCGCGAAAACCCTGGCTGGAGGCAGGCGGGGGCAAGAGAAGGGTGGTGGCCTCTGGCCCCCGGGCCTGTCGTAGCCCCTGTCCCGGGAAGAGCGTGGGGAGTGGCTCTCCCCTGGCTGCTCTGATGGCCCTAAGCCGGACCTCTCCCTCCTAGGCTGGGGTGCTGCCTGCGTCCCGTCCTGTGGTGGCAAGGCCAGGACTGGCGGGAGCAGGGCCGCCCAGTGTGCCACCTGCAATGTGCCATCTGAGAGTCCCTGTGTCTGGGGGTGGGGAGTGGGGGTGGCTCAGGAATTCCCCTCCCCCCAGAACTGGAGGGCCACATGCCGCTAAACACCCTGTGGGAGATAAAGCGAGGCCCCAAGTGTTCTCAAAGGCACCCCACGTTAAGCCAGGGGTCCGAGCATCCTCCTCATGGTGCGTCTGACTTCCCTGCCTTCCTCTGAGGACCCCGAGAATGTAGGGCAGAGAGAGGAACCAAGAGAGAGAAACCGAGAGAGACAGAGACGGGCAGAGACCGTGAGAGATGGGGAGAGAGACATGGGGGCGGGGAAAGAAGGGGGAGAAAAGGGGGCCTTCTGTGAATAAAGGCAGCTTCAGTTAGTAACACAATTGACAAGCTGCAAAAACAGCACCTACTAATTAGTCATTGACTAAAACGTATAAATAATAACTGTCTCGAGTGCCCCTTCTCCGCAGCTCCACTGCCCGCAGCACAGGCCTCCGGCGGGTGGGGGTGGGCAGGTTTCGGGGCCAGGCAGTGGGCGGCGGCACCCTCCGGCCCGGAGCCGGCTCTCCCCGGGGTCTGCAACCAGGGTGGGGCTTTTCCAAGGGAAGCCCGTGCTTGGGGGGGAGTGGGTTCTGTGGAGGAGTCGGGCGGGCTCTCCAGATGAGCAGGGTGGCCCCCCGAGGGGGACATGGCAAGGAAACCCTCAGGTTTCTGGTAACTCAAGCGATTTGAACAATACTCTTGTTTAGGTTCTGAACATCCAGATACTCAAGCTTCCCCTTCACGCTGCGTATGAGACGCGCAGTTGGCACCCTGGGTAAAGACGGGCATGAGACTCAAAAGCAAATCTGAGATGCTTTTTCCTGCGTGTGAAAAGCCTGCTCCCTGCGGGCTGGCCTGTCCCCACAGTGCGCGTGTGCGAGACGTAAGTGCCCAGGGTGGGGGCTGACCGAGCCCCAGGGCGCAGGCTCGGGGCGGGGACTGCTTCGCTGCCTGGCCCAGGAGTCTGGGCCACGGTCCCCAAGGTCCCCGTGTCTAGGATCAGGGGGTGGCTGGCTCCAGCCCACGAACACCTCCTGCTCATCAACATCGTCCCTGTTCTGCTGTGCCCTGGGCCCGGAACATGGCGCAGCCCCACCTGGACGGACGGACCAGGCCGGGCCGAGGAGGGCCGGGGTCCCCGAGCCTGCCCCCTCCCTGGGAGAGCCCAGGCGCGTGACTGTCCCTGGGCTGCCATTCCAAGACGCAGGGCCCGAGAGCAGCCCCACGGTCAGGCAGTGCTCTTCAAACTGGGTTTTGCAGAGCCCTTGGGGTCTAGAGAGGTACCTTAGGAGATGCCCTTGGTGAAGGGACTGCCGGGTGGGCTGAGCTTTGAGAAGGGACCTCGCACCCCCCAGCGTCAGCCGAGCAGCGAGGCCCGTGCCGGCACCTTGAACTTCCACCTGCGCCTGCGCTTAGTAAACAAAGTTCTGCTGCTCAAAATAAAAGCTTGAGAATCACTTGTCTGGGTGGGGTCAGGTCACTGGCCGGGAAGACAAGGAACCTGCAGGACTTGATCAACCAGAAGCGGTGAGACCACCAAGGCGTGGGACTGAGCCGCCCCCACCCCCGGGGCCAGCCTGCCAAACGCAGGCCCTCGGCGGACCCTGCCTTGGCCTCCAAGCCTGCCTTCCTGCCTATGGCCGGGAGAGCCCGTCTGGCTAAAGGCACCCCCGGGGGTGGGGGGGAGGCTGGGTCCAGGCCCCACCGGCCCTCTGGCTGCTTTCCCTTCAAGCTCCACGGTGGCTCCAGGTGCCCGGTGCTACCTGAGCCGGCCGTCGGGTTTGACTGCCCCCAGCTCCGACTTGGGGTCGGGGCTGAAGGAGCTCCAGGCCGTCTGGCTGCAGGTCTGCATGACCGGGCAGGCGGTGGGGCCGGTGGTGCAGATGTCCATGGCGGTCCACATCCCGCCCACCAGCGTGTCCAGCCAGTGCTCCAGCACCGCGCCCGAGGCCGCCGCGTTCCTGCGCGCCTGCTCCACCTGGGCCGGGACGACGGGCAGGCTGAGGACGGGGTTCAGGCTCTGGAAGCTCTGCTCCATGTAGGCGCTGCGGGGGGGCCCGTTGTGCAGCTTCAGGGCCTCCTCTGGAAGGCAAAGGGGACAGCTGGTCACTAGAAGCGCGGAGGGGGCGCCTCTGTCGGCAGCACCGCTCCACTCGCGGGCTCGGGAGCCAGCGCGCAGCAGCCCCGTCCTGCAGACGAGGAAGCCGAGCCCGCCAGGGCCTTTGCCTCTCCGGGCCGGGCACGGCCGACATTGACAGACACCGTCCATAGTGCAGAGGCTCACTTGTTCGATGCTTATTTTCCAGCACTTTCTTTGTGCGAGGCATTCCTTCAGCACCTATTTACTAACTGCCCACCACCTGCGGCTGCCAGGCTCGCGTCCATGTGGGGAACGAACCAGACGTGATGTCAGGGACGTCCCACGTGTGGGCGGGGCGGGCTGCTGATGCCAAGGCAGTAAACAAGTAAATAAGGCTGTTTCTAGCCCTGGTAAGTGTCTGGTTTGAGGCGGTCAAGCGGGAGAAAGGAGGTGATTTAGCAGAGCTCGCTTTCGCCCCTCTCGCCCTGATGCCGGTGGGCAGGGAGGGCAGCTCCGGTGCCAGCCGCCGGGAGGCTGGAGCCTGTTCCCTATTTGGTGCCGAGTTCTCGCCTTGTTTCCACCTCTCCAGAGACTGGAAGCTGGGGAGTGGCGAGACAGAGGCTCAAGCTGACAGACAGCAGGACGCTCGGAGTGAAAGAGCAGCTGACAAACATTTGAACACTGGTTGCTGCAGAAAACCCTTATGAAAAATGAGGTTAATGTGGGAAATGCCATTACAGCAGCAGCCCTCGACGCTTGCCTCTATAATTAAATTTTCCTCAATTCCACCTCATCAGATTTCTTGAGATTACCAGGGACGCATCAATAGCAAATTACTCTTGATGAATCATTTTACAAATTGCATCGCTCCCACCTTCGAGCTCCCTGTCACTGGAACCCGGCTCACCGATACAATTCCTGACGACAGGGGGCGGCTCCCAGGGGGCGTGATGGTCCCTGGCCTGTCCCAGGGCTCAGGCGGGAAGAGCCTCGCCTTTCTAAGAAACCCCAGAAGCAAAACTTGGAAAACTCAGGACCCAGTGGATAGCCCTGACTCTCTTACTGGGAGGCGGGCTGATTCCGGGTCTCTGCTTTTCTGTGTCTGGACACCCTTGTCCTCCTTGCGGGCTTTGGAGATCCTTCGGGGTGCTCAGGATTCAGGAATAGTCAAGGGGCCCCCTGCTGGCCCCGTCTGGGTGGGCTCTGGCCCCACTGGCACAGCATTAGCCCGTTTCATCGGGGAGCAGAGGAGCAGACTTCCATTTCTAGAAAATGTGAGTCTACATCTTAATGTAGCTCAGCACAGACACTTAGCCGAAGTCCACGGAGCTCCTTCGGCACTCCCTGTGAGGAGTCCAGGGACCTGCCCTACAGCTATGACCCCTCTCCTGTGTCTTTGGCTACATGGCACCCAGCCCTGAATGTGTTTTTAGCTAACAGAGGCTGGGAGAATGTTTTCTGGCTTTGCGATTGGTTAGGTGGAGACAAACTATTTCAAATATCAAGAGATCAGGACACCCTGTCTCTGGGAAGTGAGTTTATGGGTGTAGGTCATGAGGATGTGCAAGATGAGGTGTGACAATCTTCTTGGCAGTGTTATCTGGAATAAGAACAATGAAAGAAACTATGTTCCCCCCGTTGGGGGGCGCAGATTGTGGGTCCTTAACCCTGTGTAACACGATGCAGCTGGCGGCTCTGTGTTACTGACTTGGGAAGTGACGAAAGCAAGTATAAAACGTATCACTGTAGTTTTTAACAAAAAACTGTGATTTAGTTTGTGCTTGTGATTTAGTTTGTGGTTTATGCGTACGTGCTGTGAATGTTGGGAGACCTCTGGAAAGTGCACGCCCAACTCTTGGTGGAGGTTAAGATTCAGTGGGGAGGAAGACACGCCCTGTGATAAGAAGGAATTAGAAAAAGAAAAGTAAACCCTTTGGATGAGAAAAGAAAAGACAGGCAGGTGCTTTGGGAGGGAAAAAAAGCAAGCGGTTTGTCTTGCTTTTGAGTTTTAAATACCTGCACCATAATTATGATTACTATCATGATGTTGCCCCCTCAAATTATGTTTTAGAGACTTTTCCAACTCACTCTGCAGAGGGTGCTGCAGGGAGGTTCCCTGTTTCACACAGCTCTGGGCTCTACAGACCACACGCCCTCACCCCTTGGAATGAGGGCCCATGGTGTGGTTCCTGGTTTCATGCTGTGAAAATCTCCAGGTGCCTGCCAGGGGTCTGGTCATCTCTATTAGCTGATGTCCCACCTCGCTTACTGCTCCACCTCCTGCCTCTCGGTGGACAGTCATTCGTGGAATCCCTTTCTACTTTTAATTTGCATTTCTGTCATTATTCATGAGCTGAGCATTTTTGGGTGTGAGCATATGGGTGTGAGGCCATTGATGCTCTCTCTACTTTTTCTCTTTCCTCTTTTCTATCAGGGATTGACAATGTTTTCCTCTCAAGGGGCCAGGTAGTAAATATTTTGGCCGCTGTGGACATGCAGTCTTTGTCTCAAGGACTCAAGGCTGCATGCGCTATGCTCCCCAGGCAACTATAATCAGTATGTAAATGAGTGGGCGTGGCCCTGTTCCAATAAAACTTTATTTATAAAAACGGGCGATCTGACCTATGACTTGTAGCTTGCTGATTTCTGGGATTTCTTCATATATTCTGAATAGGAGTACTGTTTTAAAAATGTGTCACACATTATTTCCCAATAGTATGTGGTTTATCTTTTCACCCAGGGTGTCACGTTTTTGGTGAGCATGATTTCCTATTTTAATTATCATTTTTGAAACAGGGAACATGATTTATTGAAACTGGGTTGACTTTCCCATATTTTCTTAAATATGGTCGGGGCATCTGGAAGTCCCACGGGACAGCGTCTAATAAACCGGTATCTACCACACTGACAGATGCCATCCCCGCGGCGCGCAGGTAGAATGTTGGATGGTTCTTGCTGACGGATGAGCAGGAAAAGCAGGGAGAGCAGCAAGCACTGTCCTCCAAGGTGCCCCTGGCAGCCTCATGAGCGTGCAGCACTGCCTGCCCAGGAGGAGGCCCTGATAGCAGGGATGGAGGGGCCCCCAGGGTCCCTGCAGTACTCACCTGGTTTGATGGGCTGCCTGTTTGAGAAGGTCAGAGGGGCGATGAGGAATTTGGTCTCTGCAACGGGCACCCAGTGGTGCAGGATTTTCACTGTCCAGACCCCAGGCCTCAGGGGCAAGTTCAGAGGGGGCTTGTAGTGGGTGAATTCGGCAGTGGACTCGATCAGGATGTCGTAGGTGGCTGCGATGATGTTGACAGGATCCACCCAGATGACAGTCACTGTCACGTTGGGCCCCTTCCCCCATTTCTGCATGCCTACCGGCTCGTCCATGGGTCCCAGGAGACCCCCAAAGTTGCGGAAGAGCCGCTCCTTGGCATCCCATTCGGTGCCGACCTGAAACAGGAGAGCGAGTCCTGAGCTCACGGGGCCTGAACTAGGGTGCTGGGGCCTACAACGGGTCCTGCTTATGGGGCTTCATATGCTCACTTCACAGATGAAGACACTGAGGCCCCCATCAAGTCACCTGCTCAAAGTTGCACAGGTCGTGAGCAGAAGGTCTAGGATTTGGACTCGGGCTGGTCTGATTAGAAGGGCCCTTCACTAAATCACGGAGCCTCCCGTGCCCAGGGCAAGGCGTGTGCTTGGCAACAACGAGCACCGAACGTAAGGAGGCCCACGTGCGGGCATTCCAAGGACACATGCTCCTTGCTCCTGGCAGGTCTGGTTGATTTCTGGTCTGGGCCTTGGTTTTCTTACCAGTGCTTCCTTTCAGCATATTGGTTCTGCACCAGAGTAGAGCTTAGCTTCTGGGGCTGCCCTTGGAGAGTCCCTCAGCATCGCCTGTCATTTGCAGGAATTCAAATGGCTTTGGCTGCCCTGTGGGCTGCTGAGCTGGCACGGGCTGGAGAGGGCTGTTCACACATCCTTCCTGCCAGCCAGCCAGGGGCGGGGGCTGTGTGTGTCGCTTTGACCCACCGACTCGCTCTTGGCTTCCCCCCTCCTCTTTTGCTGTCTGCAGTTTATTCTCCACCCAGCAGCCAGAAAGGCCTTGCGAAATGATCCTTCACTGCCCAGAGCCCTGTGGCTTGGTTCACTCCTCTTTCTTGGTGCTGAGCTCTGTGCTGAATCGCCATCGCGGAGTGAATGAGTGAGTGACTTCACAAAAAGGCGAATTAACTGTGTAGATCAAGATTCTGAGCCCTGATGCCAAATCAAATCAGATTAAATGAGGAGCCCTCTGCTTCCCCGGGAGGTTCTAATTTAATGTTGCTGAAGACACAGCATGTGGCAGGCTGGCAGCAGTAAGGAGGACACTGTGCAGCTTGCACGGCCTCTGTGGGCTCTCTGGGACCACCCCTCTGGGGTGCACACACACAATGTAGGGTTGGGTGCAGGTGTGGGCAAATAGAGGATTTCACATATGCAGTGCAAACAGGAGCACATTTGCTCTCTTCGTGTCCCTGCCATGAGTTACTATGTCCATTCTTTTCCCAGGACACAGAGCGCCAGGGCTGCTATTTACCGAGGGCTCACAGCGTGCCAGGCCTGAAGCAAGCGCTTGGATGCATCGATTTGCTTAACACTCCCACCTCCACGAAGGGGAGACTCTTATGATCATCCTCTTTTATAGATGAGGAAACAGGCTCAGACCAGTTGTGTAACTTGCTAGGGCCAGTGCGGGGCACAGCCAGCATGGGGACCCAGGGAGTCTGATCCCAGGGGCTGGGTGCTTCTCCGCTACTCGATTTATTGACACTCATTCATTCATTCATTCATCCATCAACACATGTGCTGAGTTCCTCCACCCATCAGCTGGATTCGTGCACAGTCACATCTTGCTCCAAGTTTCCATCTTTAGGCCTGAGTCTAGCCTGGGATAAGGTGCAGCCCTAAGAGTCATGCTTTGGTCACATTCTGCAAGGGCAGCTGCCCCTCCCAGACCCTGAAATCTTAGCACTTTCTGCCACCTTGTGGGTCAGCAGCGACTGGCTCCTTTGAGGCCCCCTAGGGCCTAGCAGAGCGGCTGGAATGTGGTAGGAATAAAAATGATACTACTTACTGAAGAAATAAATGAATGCGTGAGCAGGATCCAAGCTAGACCTCAAAGTCTTAGGGATTTTTCTGAAGATGCCCATCCCCCCTCACTTCCCTGGGGATAATCCTTTTTAGCTCCTCAGTATTCTTAAGTCCCATCTCTCATCCTGTCTAGTGAGGTCAGGCCTCTTCTGGTCTGGTCTACCTTCATCTCCATCCCTCCCTTCCCCTTCGCTCACCCCCTAGCCTGGCCATGCTGCGTTCTACCAGAAGGGCTCTCTCTTGCCTCTGGTCTTGTCCTCCCACTGCCTGCTTGGGGCCCAGCCTTCCTTCCCCAACCCTCTGGCCAGCTCTTACTCGTCAGCTAGATCTCCACCTGGCCACCACCTCCACATGGAGGCCTTCCCTGCTTAGAGGCCCTGCTGCAGTACTTCTCTAAGCATTTGCCCATTTAGCATTTTCCTTTTCTTCCTGGCACAGTATCACAACTTTAATTTCATGTTTCTCCCTAGCTCAGGGCTGTTGACTCCATGAGGGCAGAGCAGAGCCAACAAAAGCACAATTAGGCATTGGGTTTGTAGCAGAGAGAGCTGGGTTCAATTTTGAGTTCTTTTAAATCTTGACTTTGGTCCAAAAAAATCCCTGCATGTTCTCTGGCCTCAGATTTCCAATCTGTAAAATGGGACTAATCACGCTACCTCATTAGGAAACTGGCTTGTTATTGGTCTATAACTAACATAGGTTCAGGAGGGGTAACTGGTTTATTCAGTAATGTATCTGCACAGCCTGAAACAGTGCAGAGCACACAGAGACACTCAATACCGCTCTGTCTACCTACATACCTACCTACCTACCTGTCCTCTACTTACTGGCCTGGCTGGCTGGCTGTCATCAACCTGTCAGGAGTGACTAGGGGCCAGCACATGGCCTCCCTATGCATGCAGCTCCCCCACACTGGCTTTCCAACAGAAGCTCACAAATGAATGGTTCCAAAACCACTTGGGGTCCTACCTAAGAAGGGGTATCTGATCGGTTAGGAACATGCAAGGACACTCTAGAACATTATTTTTAGATCCCGCCAGGGAAATGGGATGAACAATTCTCTGAAGTCTGAGTTCTCAAACCCAGAGAACATGGGCAGAAAGATTGTGGAGCTGCTGAGTGTAGGAAACCTGGACCTTGTTTCTAAACCTGGGGAGTAAGGAGAAAGTCAGTCCCCAGGCAAGAGGGTCCGGGTGGGGCTGCCTCACTGTGGAAGTTCACAACCATTCATTACAAATTGATCAATTGCTCAAATTTAAGTATGTGTTTAAGTTCAAGCTCAACATACTGCTCTCCAGCTTCAAGCTCAACAAAGGTTTCCCACCATACCTAAAATAAACACAATCTGGACTTTTTTCAGGGTCCCAAAGACCCATCATGATCTGTCCCCATCTCCTCTGAGTCTCTCTGGCCACTCTCTCTCCCCTCACTTTGCCGGCCACACTGGTCTTGCTGTTCCTTGAGTATACCAAGCTCCTCCCTGGAGCCTCAGGGCCTTTGCACCTGCTCTGCTCTCAACTCAGGATACACCAGATCTCCCCATGGCTCTCTTACAGGTTTCAGCTTCTCTAGTGAATTACCTCATCGATAGCAGCCCCATCAGGCTCTCAAGTCCTCAGCAATTACATGGATGCAGTTTTATTTTCTTTATGATACTTGTCATTAGCTAAAGTGTTTTTTGTTCATTTATTTGCACACTCATTGGCTGGTGGTCCCACTAGACAGCAATTCTAAGACTATAAGGGTCTGGCAGGTTCCCTGTTGTCCCACCTGTACCTGGAGGGTTACAGGCCCTTGGTGACTCCCTGCGGAAGGAAGGAGCACCTCTTTGGCAAGCCACTAGCGCAGAGATCCATGGGTTGGAGAAATCTGTCTGAGCTGCTCAGCGACCTTGGCCACCTGTTGGGAGGCAGGCATTATGCAAGGCCCTGGGGACTGCGCCAACACAGGGAGTATCTCAGCAGCCCACAAAGCAGCTCAGCCATTCCTTCCCTGCTTCTAGTCCAATTTTATACCAGTGGCTTTAAAATTAAGACTTTAGAAAAAAATTCAAAAAACAAGATTCTGAGCTCTCTGCATCACTCTGCCAGAGATTCTGGTGGTTCTCACAACAAGGGTACAAGACCCCCAGCAGAAACCCTCACAAATCACTAGCTAGGAAGTGGCCAGCAGCATCTGTCACTGCTAGAAGTGCCCAGTCACCCAACAGCAGGCGGATAAACAGGGATAGCTCAGCCTCCAGGCATCCATCTTCTTAATGGACATTAATGTCTTCAACTGGCCACTTGGGCCCTCGGCACAGAATCCAACTGGGGCAGCATCTAATTGTCCCCAGACGCCAGTAATTTATGGCGTGGGCTCCCATGGTGGCTGGAATCCAGTCAATCCATTTGAAGCCTTAATTGAAAGCGGTGGCTTAACAAGAAACTCCTACCCTTGTCTGTTCAGAGTCCATTCTACAGGGCACAAGTGGGCTCACAGGGGACTGGGACCGGAAAAGAATTGGCTAGGAAAATATAAGCGGGGCGGGGGGGGGGGCTCCCCACTTCCAACCTCTCAACATTCCCCATCTTCTAAAATCAAACTCTTCATCCTTAGCTGTGCAACCAAAGTCATCCAGAAAGCTTAACTCCAGGGACAAATCACCTCGAGTTACTGGCTGACGTGGAGAAGGAGGAAGTGAGGTGCTGGGTTTTGGTGTGGAAAACCCTCCCCAAGCATCACCACCCAAGGGCATCGCTCATTCATTCAGAAATCTTACTCCCCATCTAGAGATGCTACATACCCTGCTATGTGTTGGGGGCTCAGCAGTGAGGGACAGGGATATAGTGCCAGGGACTGAACAGTGGGGGAGAGGGCAGCTAAATCAGCAAGAGGATTTTGGAGGGGAGGTGCTAAGAAGAACAATAAAGTAGGGACACATTGGGTGGAGAATGTGGCTGTTGTGCAGAATGTGGCGTAAGTGCAGGGGCAGAGGGAAGGCGTCTTTGAAGGTGAACCCCTTGGATTTAAATCAGAATGACCAACAAAAAGTTAGATATAGGGGAGCCTTGGGGGAAGCAGACCAGGTAGGAGGATCAGCCCTCGTGTTTGACAAAGACAGGAGGCGTATGAGCAGGGCAGGATGGTGGCTGAGGCTGCAGAAGTGGGCAGAGGCTAGACCAGGTAGGACTTAAAGGTCTGGCTGAAGCCATTCAATTATAGGGCTGATGACACAAGGGTGGGTGCTAGAGAAACCCATCTCCCCAGGAAGAAAATGAACTAAAAGCTGATGTCGTACTGGGGAGAGAGAAACTGCAGACCATGCATCAGTCCCTGTGTCCACTCACCTCTCCAGTATTCGTCCATTCTTCCTTCCTTTCGCTCATCCATCTATTCCTTCATCCGTCTGTGAATCCATTCATTCATGTATGTATGCATCCATCCATCCATCCATCCATCCATCCATCCATCCATCCATCCATCCATCCTCCATCTACCTACCCACCTGCTCACTCATTCAATGACTGATCTGACATTACTGTGACCTAAACCCTGTACTAGGCACTGGGGAGATGAAAGAACAAAATTAAGCATGGAATTTGCAGTCTAAGAAATCTGGGTTCAATTTTGAATTCCTCCATGTCCTACCTAGGATCCAAAATCCACTGCAGAGGCCTCAGTTCTTCAATCTGTAAAATGGGATTAATGCTACATCATTAGGAAACCAGTGTGTTACCGGTCCATTGCTAATATAGGTTTAGGAGGAATCACTGGGTAGGATAAACCCTTCAAAGGAATAGAAGGATAAACCATTCAAAGGAACAGAAGTTCTACTGTTTTGTTTAAACAGAGCAGGGCTCCTGATTGGTTTGGGCCCCTGATAATGAGCCTTCTGCCCTGTTCAGGATGCTGATTCCAGTCCTGGGGGGTTGGAGAACCTTCTCTAGACTCAGGGTAAGCTTATCTTAGGGGCTCTCCACTCTCCTTCCCCCCCGTGTTGTGAGCTACAAGTGTCAGGCTGTGGATCAGAACCCACTGAGAGATCTCCCGAAGGTGAAGTGTGACAATGTCTGGTCTCTCACCTCGGAAAACTGCAGCCTCCCGAAGTCGCTGGGTGGGCTTGCGATCTTGAAGACTTTCTTTGGCATCACCCATGTCTCCAGGGTCTCAAGTTTACTCACGGCCAGATTGGTTGCGTGATGCTTGATCAGAAAGCCTTGGAAGCGGTCAGCAAGAAAGTAGAGGTGGACAGACGCGGGGTGGCCCATTGGGTAGTACCTGAAAACACACACACACTGTCACACGAGCTCAGGGTGAGCACCGGAGGGGAGTCGGGTCACCAAGGGGCTCCCCCTCCATCGTGCCAGCCCGGTTGCTATGATGCTCGCCACGATCCTGAAAGCTGCTCTCTCTGCACCTATGATCTCAATAACTAGCAGGGATTTTTTTTTTTTCTGGTTAGAAATGCAAAACATGCTGGCCCAACAAGCACAATAAAGAAAATATAAATTACTACTTTTGATGCTTCTTCCCACAGATGATGTCAATTCACAGATATTTATGGCTCCTCTGCTGCTAGGTACTGGGAAGCAACATTGGTGTGCAAACAATGTCATATTGACATATTTCCTTTCACTCTTATTTTCTATGCATATATTTGCATAAATCTTACAGAGATGGGATCATATTCTACATACTGGTTACCTCCTGCTTTCCCGTTGCAGTATTTCCTGAGAATCATCACATGTCTCCGAAGTCTCTGAAGAGAGGATTTGTGCTTTCGTGGACTTTATTCCATTGTTCCTAATGCCATATGTCCCCCAGCAAGTTCCCAGCTCTGGGGGTCTAACTGATTTTCCCATTCTGAACAACACTACATTCGCCACCCTTGAGCAAGAATATTTTCTGGAATCTCTAATCTCTAAAGGGTTCCTGATGTCTGGTGCCCACATTCATCAGAAAGGTTGTACCGGTTTACGCTCTGTCCTCTCACCAATGGCACTGAGTATTTTTTTTTAAGATTTATTTACTTACACAAGAACTGGGGTACAGTCAGAGGCGCAGGAGGGTGAGAGAATTCACCAGAGACAGAGTGGGAAGCAGAACAGGAAGATGGACTGAAAGCACTGCTGAGGGGAGACAGGAGAGGTCTGCCGCGCCATGTGGGTTTCTCCTTGGCCGGCGGGAATCGAACCCACACTGCAGAGGCTACGGACAGCCCCACAGCGTGGCGCCCAACCCGCTGCGCCACCAGGGAGCCCGGCACTGAGTATTATCCTTAAAAATTATTGCCAAGGTTGTGAGGTATGTGTCTAGATTGATTTTTTGGTATGATGGTGTCCAGCTGTTCTAGCGCCGTTTGTTGAAGGACTATCTTTGTTCTATATTGCCTTTGTTCACGGTGTCAAAGATCGGTTGATTATATTTATGGGGAATTATATCTGGTTTTCTTTCTGTTCCTCCCCAAAAAATATTGCCGATCTGAGAGGCGTACGTGCACACACTCACAGACAGGTGGCTTGTTTTAAGATCCATGTCTTTGATCCATAAAGCTCGCTGGCTGGAAGGGGCAAGGGATCTAAACGGAGATGCTCTAAGGAGCAGGCGGTGAGCAGAGCGGAAGGAGGGAGGAGCCGTCCACCAGCCCAGCTCTTTGTCCTACCTACTTGTAAAATCAAAAGCTGCCGGGTTTCTGCAATGTGTAAATTGCATAGCACTTAGAGGGTGCTTGCGACTCCTTAATAACAGCATTCCACAAATCACTGTCCCCGAGCAGCCTTCCTTCTCTCTGGTCCCCGTCTGGAGTTTAAGTCCTTATGTCCAATTACAATGGTTAGGGAGGCCGCCTTCCTGTGCTTGCGCACCTCCTGAAATCACTGCCTTGTTATCCGGGTGCCGCCGGGGCGTGGGGAAGAGCCTGCACGTCCTGAGACGGCACATGCAGAGCTGTCGGGTCTGGGCTTTGGAGTAAACGCCCTTGCCTCGGAAGGTGCTGCAGAAATGGAAACGTGTCCCATCTCGGCTGCCCCGTACAGGCGCCGCTTGGGACTGCTGAGCCCTTGAAATGTGGCTGCTGTGGCTGAGGAACTGAGTTTTAGATATTAGTTAATTTAAACTTAAGTTCCCACGTGTGGCTGGGGGCGACAGCGTGGGAGTGGCGTAGGGAGTAGAGAAGAGTTTTGTGGCTGCACTCATGACCCTTCATGTTTCCTGCAGGCACGCTTTTTTCCCATGTGACTTTGCAGGTTTCCTTGCACCAGTGAGACAGTCTGTGGTGGGAGGGGTGTCACGCTAGACCCTGGTCAAACACTCCGGAAACCCTGAGTTCGGTTTTGATTGCTTGCTCTCCCTCACCATCCATCAAGACATTGTGTGTGTCCCCCGGGACCATCCTGACTCCGTCATGCACAGCAGCACCAGGAGCAAGCCACCACCATGCCCTGCCTGCACCTCTGCCGGCCTTCCCTCTCTCTGTCCCCCACCCCCAAGTTTATTGGCTGTAACCTGTTCCTAGCAGCCGTGGTCATCATCCATTGCTCAAAGACTCCAAGTGGCATCGCTTAATGCCTGCGGTAAAATCCAAACTTCTTTCCTGGTCTCCCAGTTCCCAGCCTCCTTCTCTAGTCTCCTTTTGTTTCCCTCTGCCCCAACCCCCCACCTTTTGGGAACACAGATTTGACTTTGGATTCTTGAACTTGCTAAGCTCATTTCTACAAAAGGCCCTTTGCTTGGCTGTTCTCCCTGCTGGGAACGCTCTTCTCTTATAATCGCACTGCTGGCTCTGTGTCATCATTTTGCTTAAATGTTACCCCCTCCGAGAGATCTTCCTTGACCGCTGAATCTTAAGTCACCAACTCTTTGCTATGAAATGACCTTTATTCTCGGAAGGGCCTTTATCCCTACTGATCTTGGCTCCTGTACACGTGTGCTTAGGCCCTGTCTGTCTCCATGCTAGAATGAGAGGGCTTCCGTCGGGGGCTGGTCTCTCTGGGTCACGGCTGACTGTCCAGTGCTTGACAGCCTGCCACGTGGGAGATGCTCAATCAATACTTGGTGACTGATGGAGAATTCCAGAAGGATTTCCTCTTGAACCCTTTGCTTCTCAAGTACATCTAGGGTATGTGTAATCTAGGACTGACCACAAAGCCCCATGGGACCTCATCTCAATGGTATTGAAGTAATGAAAACAAAGGGGAGAGTTTGTTTTAACAGCACAAAATGTACAGTGGAAAAACAGGACGCCAAGTGCTTGTTGCAATTCTGCAAATATCTCAATGCATGTTTACAATACGTATATTGTACTGTACATTGCGGTATATTGCAGTACAATATCAAGATGCAGGGACACCTAGAGGTGCCACAGGTGCCTCCACTTAGCCCAAGGGGTTTTTCTTCCTGTTTCAGTCCCGTGAGCCTCCCTAGCTCTTTTCGGATCACTGACTGACACGCGCTACTTGGCTGGCCTTGGGGAGTATGTGACTTTGAGGAGTGATAAGAAAGTACCGACATCCTTATCTCTGGACGGGGGCTCAGAAGCAAACTTTATTTTCTTATTCTCTCAATCTGCCATTTGGAAAATTTCTGCAATCAACATGTGTTATTTTATAATGAGAAAAAAAATCAATGCACATTACTTTTATGAAAGGGTATACTCTAAACTGGAAAGACATAATTTGCGTGAAATGCCAAGAGAAAATGAGATTCTTGAAATAAAGTTTTCTCTGGCTGTTTCTCCAGATATCCCAGGGGCAGGAATTTGCTCTTTTGCCTTTTTGGGATAAGGGCCCTTTGTCCAGATTTATGTGCAGGCTCATATTCATAATGTATCGGCTTTGCCCACAGCAAGGCACAACGGTTCTATTATAATAAAAAATGAGCAGAACCCATGGATTTTAGGTCTGGGGCAAGTTGGTGGTCACTTAATTTCAAAAGAAGTACTGGGAGGAAATTTCAATGACCCTAGATAAATAGGGGTGTCTTCTGGAATTTTCTATATGGCCATGTATCTTGTAAATTCTCTGAAACCTGGGATTAAAACTATTCTTGAATGACATCCACCTTCCTAGAGTCAGGCACTGTGCAAAGTAACCACTGGGGATACACTGGTCCACAGGCAAGGATTCTGCCCCCAGACTATCATGAAAAAGACACCCATGACCTTGACCCACTGGAGGAGTGTCAGAAGTGGTCTCTGAGCCACCCTCAGCTTGGGAGGAGGAGATGGGTGATCAGGGGGACTCTTTTTTTTTTTTTAAGGATTTATTTATTTATGCATACAAGAACTGGGGTGTAGGCCAGAGGCATGGGGGGTGAGAGGATTCACCAGAGACAGAGTAGGGACTAGAACAGGTGGATCCACTGAAATGCACTGCTGAGGGGAGTGGCAGGCGAGACAGGAGAGGTCTACTGCGCCATGTGGGTAGCTCCCTGGCTGGGGATCAAACTCGTACTGCAGTGACTGTGGACGCTTAACCCCTTGTGCCACCAGGGATCAGGGGGACTCTTAACAAGCCGCAGAGAGGATGTGGCACTTGAGAAGCCCCAAGAGACCGTGAGAGGGTTGGCTGTGCAGGGACAGGGAGGGTGATAAGAGAAAGAGCAGAGGGGGAACAGTTCAGCAGTTACAGGGCATCTAGCTCACGCTGCAGAGTCCCTGGTGACTGGGCTGGCTCTGCAGTAAAAATGGCGACAAAGATCTACACAATGATGTGAACGTTTACTGAGCACTTATAATGTAAAAATACTTACAATGGGCATAAAAATAAAACACAACTCATCAGGGAGTTGTTGAGGACTAACCCTAACCCTTAAAACCTCACACCACCTTATGGAAGTTGAGGTTACCATTATTACCATCTTCCAGATGAGGAAACTGAGGCTCAGCATAGTTTATGATTTGCCTAAGGGCAACAGGTGATAAGGGGAGTCAAGTTCAAACTGTGGGTCCTGGATGCCTAACCCAGGCGGGTCTCCCTTTAAACAGAATCAGAACCTGCAGGGAGGGGGTTCAGGCTGAGGACAAGAGGGGTAACGACAACCTGCTGTGGCCCGCAGAGCCCAAGATGGCGCTGCACGTGTGGCACCAGACAGGAAACGGCCCCCTGCTTCCAGAATTTTAGGGAACACACAGATCGTTTCTTCTCCTTCCTCCCTACCGGGAAAAGCAGGGCCAGGAGGAACATCAGGGAAGGTTCAGTGGGTAGAGATGGATGTAGAAACAGTGTGTCCTCTGTTGTTAAAAGGGGGAGGGTGGGATGAGAAGTAGGAGGGAGAACAAGGAAGAGAATGAGAGTGATTCGAGGCTTTTGGGGAATCGATCCTAAGGAAATAACCAGAAAAGAGAAAGTGGAAAAAAAATAAGAGACTTTCTGCAAAAGACATTCATCAGAATGTTGTTTACCGTGGCCTAGCACTGACAGCAGGCCGGAGAGGGGCGGATTAAGCAAACTCTGGAATTTCTGCTCAATGGGATTCAAGAGGCTTTCAAAAGGCTCATCATCAACAGAAGCTTCAGAGCAGGTGGGGAAGAGGGGGGGCTGATGTTACAATGCCCAGTGGAAAAACAGGGCACCAAGTGCTTGTTGCAATTCTGCCAATATCTCCACGCATGTTGCCACATGTAAATATGTGTGAGGCATATTCCTAAGAATGGAAGGTTGGCTCAGAAGAGGGTGGGGCAGGGGGGATCATGTTGAAATATTCCTCCCCTTCATCTTTTCCACTTATTCTAGAATACTCTTTCCTGATGCCCACTGGTCCTAGCGAGTGGTAGGCGAGATCATCCGAAGGGGTATTGGAACGTTTTAAATAATAGTTCTGCATTTTCGTGGTGTTTTGGGCTATATTTTCAGGTGTGATAATGATAGTATGGTTATGTTTTTAAAGGGAGCCTTTATTTTCTCAGACATACATATTAAAATATTTATGGCTGAAACGATATGATGTCTGGGAGTTGCTTCAATCAAACCGATCTAGGAGGAGGGAGGAAGTTGGGAAAGTGAAGACGAAGCGGACAGGCTGGAGCGGGGAATTGCCGGAGCTGTACGGTGCGGGCACAGGGTTGTATCTGCTCTCTATTTTGTATGTATTTGACATTTTCCATAATGACAAGTAAAAAAAAAAATCCTGCACTTTCAGTTACCTTCTGCTGAAGACAAACACAACCCTGTAATATGGTGACACAAAGCTTCCTGCTAAAGTACATATATTTAGTATAAAGAACATGTCCACTGAAGGAACCAATTAGGCGAACACCAGCGCTGGGCTTCTGGGACACACGCTCCATGCTGGGGCGGCTGCCCGGGTGTTTGCACTGTAGATGCTCCAGGATCCCGCTCCGACACCCGCCCCCCCTCTCGCCCCTGCACCCAGGGCCCCTCCTGGGCTCACCTGCAGCTGTTCTCCCTGTCTGTGTGCAGCGAGGACTCGGCCCTGCGCAGGCCCAGGCGGGTGAAGGAATGGTACAAGGTGAGAGCCACGTCGCTCAGGCTGTGGACACCATCCGCCTCATCATAGATGCTCTCCCAGTAGGAGCGAAGGCCTGGGGTGCCTGCAGGGTAGTTCCCGTACAGGTAATAGTCCAGCTGCCCGATGATTTCCTGATTCACCACGGCCTCGAACTTGCGGGCAAAGAAGGTAGGCCTGGCTGTCTGCTGTGCTCAAGGGATAGGAAAAACAGCATCAGCAAGTGTGTTCGTGTGTGTGTGTGTGTGTGTGTGTGTGTGTGTGTGTGAGAGAGAGAGAGAGAGAGAGAGTGGGAGCCTAACAGCATCGCCTGTGGTTAGGAGGGGGCTCTGCAGCTATTCCAGATCCAACACTTACTAACCTCTCTATTCTGTTTTCTTCTCTATAAAAGGGAATCATAATAAAGTGTTAGGAATGAATGAGTTAATGAATGAATAACATTTAAAACAATGGTGGGTGTGCGGTTAGCATCATTTAGATGTTTATTAAATAAATTACATTCTAGATGTTTATAGCTGGAATGGATCTCAGAAACCATTCTGCTGGCGGTCTAGGGCAAAAATAGCCATCCGATGTAATTAGCTGTCCAGTGCAGTGTTTTAATATTGAATTAGCTGGCAGCATTTAAAAAGCAGAAGAATTCATAGAACAACTCTGGCTTCCTTTTAAACAGAAATAGATCTAGCAATCCCAGGTCCATGCTCCCACATGGTACTAACTCACTGAAGCTGGCAGCAGTTGCCCCTTGAAATGGGCATGGGTGCTTCATGCCACAGTCCCCACTACTCCCTATAGCCTTCCAGGTATTGCAGCTGCCTTATAGACTTGGCTTTTCTGATTAGAATCTCTGGGAGAAGGGCTTAGGAATCTTTGCTCTTCATAGGCTTCCAGGTGATTCCAACACTCCCTAGGGCTTCAGGACAATGTGACAGCCCAGCTGGCTCCACAGAGTCACCTGCGTGGTTAAAAAAAAATTTCAAATTCTGCAGTCCCTCCCCAGAATTACTGAGTCAATCTCTCTGGGGAAGAGGCTGGGGAATCTACCCAAAAAAGCTTCAAGGTAGTCATGATGCAGTATTTGAGAACCTTCCACGTAAATCAGGGCAAGTAAGTGGAGCCAAGAGAGGGAAAGGTACTTATCTAAGGTAATGACAAAGGCTGGTAAGATGGAGAGTTGAGGATTAAAAAATAAACTACTGAATAGTTGTTATCTGCTGGGTCTTACACATGGTCCGGGGCAGAGAGCAGCAAACTTTCAGTAAAGGGTAAGATAATAAATATTTCTAGCTTTGCAACTTCTCAGCTCTGCTGCTCGTGTGAAAGCAGTCTTAGACAAAGTAGTAAAGAACGGGCATGGCTGTGTTCCAGTAAATGCTATTTACAGCAGGCAGTGGGCTGGATTTGGCCTGGGGGCTGCAGTTCACTCACCCCTGGCTTAGGGCTATGAAAACAAATAAAACACAGTTCCCTCCTCTGTGGAGCTTGTGATCTCATATTATTACTGACCTTAATTTGAGTCTCTTAAGTGCTGAACCCTAACCCTAAATAGTACAAGATGTAAAAACCACATAAAGTCTTACTTTCCACTCACATAATGGCAGATTTGCTATAATGCATAGTACAAAACTTTGAAAATCCAGAATGCACTAAGAACTGCAGTTTGGTGAGTAAGTCGTTGGTTGATAAGCTGACCGCACAGCGCAGCTTCGTGTCAGCCACGAGCCCCAACCCAGCCCTCACGTACTCTGGGTCACTGAATGTAGGTGCTGTTTTCACTGCAGCAGATTAACAGCGACAATAATCATGGTAAAACTCCTGAGCACATGCTTCCCACAGGGTGTCGTGTTTATGTCATTACTTCCCATCCCAGCTTCTCTGCAAAGCAGGTACTGTTTTCTACAAAACAGGACCATGTTCTACAAAGCAGGTACCATTTTACAGATGAGGAAACTGGGTTCAGAGAGGGCAGCTGATGCGTATAAATTCACAGTTGTAAGATTTGAACCCAGATCTGATGCCCCTAAAACCCCAAATCAAATGCTAATGGAGTAAATTAGCCCCAGTAACAAAAACTCCAGGCATTACTCTGAGCACCCTATCACCTCTTTGCCTTCTGGACCCTTGGGGGTCCCCTCTATGTGTTAGAGGGATCAGGACAGTTTCCTGCAGTAGTGCCGGAAAGAGCTAGCCCAGCTGGGTTCAGATCTTCACCCTGCTGCTCTCTGGCTATATTATGTCCTTGGGCAAGCCACCCAGGGCCTCAGCTTCCTCACCCCTAAAATGGGTAGAATAACACGGGAACTCAGCGTGTGTCTATACAGTGTTAGCCGCTATTACCATGCGGCTATTGTCACTGCCCCCTTAGCCTGCTGGCAGGGGCTTCTAAGTTTGCTTTCTGGGCAGCCTTTTTCTGCTGTGATTCTTTGATCATAGTTGGATCTTCTGAAAGGGCACATTTCTATTTTTATCTTCTCTTCTTCTGAACAAGAACTCTGAGTTCCTTACAGGCAGCCGTTTCTTGATTCTAGATGTTGGGGGAGATTCTTGATCTTTGTTTACTGTGGGGAAAGAGCTGTGAGCACATGCTGGGTCTCTGTTAGCTAATCTTGAGCAGAGACCACGGTGGCCCAGGATGCTGGGTGGGAATACAAATGGGGCCATCCAGGAGCGGCTGGAGAGGGGCAGCGCTCCCAGAATTGCCACAGCTACTTGTTCTAAATGATGAAGGGCCGTTCAGACAACGGCAATTAGACGGGTCCTCTACCAAAGTGGGATTTTTTTTCCCCCCTTTTGAATAGGTCAAATATTCCCCCTGCCACCCTCTTCCAGTTCAGCAAATCCTTTCTGCATGGACAATGGACCTAAAATGTCACCCAGGTTCATGCCTAAATTAACATGGGGTTGAAGAGTTCCCTGGGTAGTTTTCCATGTGCCACCAAAAATAAGCCTAAAAACATTCTTATTGCAGCAACCACTATGGAGGTCAAAGACATGTGCAGGCAGGAGACCAGGGTGGCAGTGGGTCTGGTGGAGAAAGCCCGGGGCTGGAAACACCTGTCCATGGACCACTCTGTGCCTCAGTTTCCCCACCTGTGCAACAGGGATGACGTGAATGCACCCCCACCCCATGCAGCTACCCCTGTGCTTTGCAAACACAAACAGCCTCGCACTGTTTATACATGAACAGTTAATACATGAACTGACTTGTTAATACATGAACTGACTCAGCAGATCAGGAGCTGCAGAGAGTCTGCATTTCTAATGGCTCCTGGTGACGCTGCCGCTGCTGGCCGTGGAGCACAGCCTGAGAGCTGAGCTGAGACTGGAGGCTGCATGTGGGCAGCCGTGGCCTTCCCTGGGGGCTTCAGTTTTGTGCCCTGGTGAGGCAGCCAGGGACGGGGTGACTCGCCGGCGCTACTGTCCCTCCCATCTTCACACGGTGTCTCTAGTGGCCCTGGAGCGGCTTGTTTAATCATTTTCTAATGTTTGTGCTCTGGGCAGCTCAGGCCTGCATGTGGCCAAGGGGAGAGAGGGAAGCACCCTGGGGTGCTGGTCTGGAGGGTGCAGGATGAAGAAGTTGTCTTCCCGGGTCAGCCTGGGGGGCATGGGAAGCAGATGGAGCACGGCTCACCCTCCTGCCTTCGTTCTCCCCAAACTGCAACTTGCCGGGCCAGGCTCACGCCCATGACGGCAGTAACACTTCTGCCTCTTATTACTCTGGTTAGTTCAGAGTGTGGCGGTTTCTAAGCCCAGAGGCTCATCAGAATCCCCCAAAGTGTAATGCTACACTGGACATTCAAATAGCTGGACCTCCCGGGAGGTCACAGTTCTCACCCGTGGATGAGTCTATCCCCAGCGGACACTTGGTGATGTCTGAAGACGCCTTTGGTTGTCACGACCAGAGGATCTGGGGATCAGAGGCCAGGACTGCCCTACACACCCCACCCAGTGCACAGGACAACCCTCTCCCCAGGGACTTCCTAGTTACCACGCTAAGGGTGCTGAGTTTGAGAAAGTAACTTAGATATACTTGAGTTTGTGCCCAGAAATACGTTCTTTACAACTATTTCAGAGAATTCAGATGGACGGGCAGCACAGGCCAAGCTATGGGACCCTTGCACGAGGCTGCTGCCCTTTCTGTGTCTCAATTTCCCCATCTCTAAAGTGAAGTAATGTACTAATAACATTGTAATAATTATAAATTATATAGAAGCATAAATATAATTGTAACGAGATTATATATTTGTATGTACCTCCTGAAGGCTGCTGTGGGCTAATGAGCCAGCACAGGCAGAGCGGCCAGAGTGGCCCTGGCCCGGGGTCAGCGAACACTGCTGCTGTCGATGTGCTCACTCCTGCCAGCTACAGCAGGGCTGGGAACTGTGGGGTACGAGGACCCATAGGCCCGGCCTTGGGGGCCTGCAGAGGCCGGCTGGCAAGGCGGGTCGGGGCTGGCAGGCTCACCTGGAAGCGATGGAAGTCCTGCGGCTTGAAGTCGTTGGGGGAGCAGCCGCACCAGTCCACGATGTGCTTGTACTGGCACTTGCAGCCCAGCTTGCGGTTCCAGTTGGTGACCCGCAGGTTGTTGTCCACCATGGTGTCGCAGTGGGGGCTGTTCTCCAGCACCGTGTGGAAGAAGGACTGCAGGGGAGAGAGGGCCCGGCCTGAGACCTCTTCCAGACACCCCCCGGTGGGCCGGGGCGGGAGGTCCTTCCCCGGGCCCTCCCACTGTGGGGGAAACCTCTTGGAGACTCATCTGTTCTCCGTCTGCAAATGGGGTCAGTCATTGGCCATTTGGTCCAATTCAGAGAACACTGGATATTTTGTCCGGAGAGCTTGATTCTGTTTAAGAGTCTACTGTTCTGATTGTTTCTCTACGTTGTCTATTCTGAGCAGTCTGCAATCTCTGACTTCAAGATGTCTCTTAACACCCAGGACATCTTCTGGCCGTTTGGTAGGGAGGAAAAGTCCCTCAGTGCATGTGGGCACTTGGGACTCCGAGGAAACTACAGGGACAGTTTTCCAGGACAGCTTGGGCCACAAGGCTCCAGCTTTACAAACAGCCACGTCCGAAATCAGCTCAGGTCTGAGACATCAGGAGATCTCCCCCTGGGGCGAGGGAGGCCAGATACACAAAGCATCGGGCTTGGGCCTGGAAGGGATCCCAGGAGCTGGGGGGCCTTCATCACGCAATGACAGTGCCCGCAAGGGGCCCTGGCCTTGGTGCTGAACCAGGCACCACAGGTTCTCCCTAATCCTGCGACTCATCTTCTCATAGAAATCTGAGAAAGAGGACGCTTTGAGAGGGAAAACAGAGAGGAGAGACATGGTTACAGCTGCTGAGACAGAGAGAGAATCAGGCAGAGTCAGGGTGGGGAGGGGGGGAGAGAGAGAGAGAGAGAGAGAGAGAGAGAGAGAGAGAGAGAGAGTAAAAGAGTGTGTGGACACTGGTTTATAACAGCCCAAGACACCAGGCTACATTTTCCCCGTTTCTCTGTTCCGTAGGGGAAGCTGGTGTGGCTGTATGTCTGCTTGTATCAAATTTCTGATTTCTTCCAAACCCTTCCCCTGGAGATGGTCTGGGAGAAGAGGGTGGGCAAGACAGAGATGTCGGGGTGGAGGTGCTGGGATCTAAGCGGGACCCTGGAGTGTACCGTGCCTGTGTGTGCCGGGGTGGTGGGCGCAGAAGACGCATACAGAGCTTTGTTCAGCACCGGCCGTCAGCCGTGGGATGGGCACCTTGACGAAAGTGACCAAACCCCAGTCTCTTCTCATTGGGCCGGCAGGCAAAGTGCAGCTCTACCTACCACCTCCAGCTGACCTTGCTGTGGTGCTAAATGATATGCCTGTGAAGCTGGATTTTAAGTTTGAATTGTCTAGAAGCTCAGAGAGGCACATATTCTCCATCAAGCGGTAGGGAAAAGCACCCAATTACCGATTGCCCTATGTCCTTTCACAGTGATACAGAAATTCCCTGCAAGATAATGGATGAAGAGGTTATCGGAATTGAGAGAAAAGGTGGTTTTCACTGAAATAGGATTAAAAGCTGATTACTTAACATGTGTGCAGAATAGTAAAAGCTGGCCCAGTGACGGCAAGCCCACCCTCCCTCTGGAGTGACATGGGTAGCAGCCTGATCAGGCACTTGCCATGGCCCAAGATGCTGGTGAGTGACATGGAAACCACCAGAGGAGATACACTGTCTTATCGGGCTTCCAGTAGCACAGGCTGAGTGGTCCCGAGATGGGCACAGACGGGAAGGCATGGCGGACCATCACAGGAGGGGTTATGGGCTCAACAGAGGTGGGGCCAGCTTTGGGGTTTTCTGAAGTTGGACATTAGGGCTGAATGTGAACTGGAAGAATTTCTCAGCCCAGGTTCAATAAGGCTGTTGGCATATTGGTGGCGACACTTCAGAACTGGGTTATTACCCATTTCCAGATGGAGCTGGAATATTTTATAATAGTCTGCCATAGTACACAACAGGGCTTCTGAAATGGACTGAATGTTCATGTCCCTCCCCTCCCCCAATTCATATGTTGAAATCCTAATCCTATTCCCCAATAGAATATGTTAGGAGGTGGGACCTTTCAGAGATGATTAGGTCAGGAGGGTGGAACCCTCATAAATGGGATTAATGCCCTCATAAAAGGGATCCTAGAGAGATCTCTCACCCTTTCTACTGTGTAAGGACACAACAACAACTTTTGGCAGGGAGTCCAAAACCAGAGGAAGGCCCTCACCTCACCCTGCTGGCATCCTGAGCTCTTCCATGTTCAGCCTTCAGAACTGTGAGAAGCAAATTTCTATTGTTTATGAGTCACTGAGTTTATTGTACTTTGTTCTATCAGCCTGAACTTAGTCCCCACCCTGAGGTGTGGAAAGTGGTGACAGGCTCCTCAAAGCTTTTAAAATATGTTCAAAAGTCAAAAAGAAATGTTGAGCCCCAAGCATTTGTCCATGCAGGTGGCTAGTGCAAATCCAGCAGAGGCCCTGGCTCATTGTCTTTGGGATTGCTGGAATTTCTGGAATGACGCATGAGGCCGATACTATTGTCTGTCAGGGAATGCTGAAAATGAGGAAAAGGACTCTTGATGTTGAAAAAGTCTGTATATGATTGGAAAGTGGAGAGGATCTGTCAAAAGGTGATGTGGCTGTGTCCTGAAAGCACAGGCCTATACAGTTGTGTGGGTTACACACTGCACAACTCGAGGCAGCACCAGCAACACCAGGTAGTACAGGATTGAATTTTTTTTTTTTTTGGTCACAGTTTTCACAAAAATGTCAGTAAGTGTATCTCTGTATCAAAATCGAAATATTATGATTTTATGGCCGAGAGGCAGCGAGTCCCTGGAGGAAGGGCTACTCTCCCATTCGCACTGCACTGAGACCTTGTGCTGCTTGCTGGCGGCAGTGCTGTGAGTCTCTGCATGCAGCCTCCTTGCAGACTGAGGTGGACCAGGGACACTGCCGTGACAAGGTCCCTGGTGGCTGATGCCTTCTCCATCCTGGGTGTCTGGAGGCCTATGTATCTATCGGATCCAGCCTCTTTTTGCCCAAAATTCGGCATTGGCTTTGCTGCAAAGCCTAGGCCCTGCCTTGCCTTTTCCAGGTACTTATTCCCCTCCTCCCTCACCCCCCCCCCACTCACCTCAGCAGGAAGCAGGGTATAGGAGTAGAATTGCTTCATTTTGGTCACGAGATCATCTGTGGAGAAGGTCACATACTCCACAAACTTTCGGTTCAGCAGGAACCAGTCGGAGCCACCATCTACCGCAATGCCCTCTGGGATGCGCCGGTCCCCCAAGCGCCACATGTGTGCATCACACTCCAGGAAGAGCCGGTCCAGACCCTGTTTCCGGATGAACCTGTGAGACAAAATAGTGCTTAGCCCCAAGGAGCCCTGGAAGAGGGCGTGCCACCCAGAGTCCAAGTGGAATAACAATCACAGCAGGAACAGCATTTATTGAGCGCTTGCTGTATACCAGCTACTGAGCAGTGGCTTTCTGTGTAGTTTGTCATTTGGCCTTCACAGGTGAGGCAGGTGGCTAAATCCCTATGAGACAGCATCAATCACGGTCTCGCCCATTTTACAGATGAGGGTGCTAGAGCTGGGGAGATAGGAGACTTAGCCAGTGCAGTTAGATGACAGCGGCCATTGGCCCCATCTACTTCCTCTTCGGAGAACTTTTGTTCTCTTCTGATGTCTTGGCAGTTTGGTGAATACATGAATGGACCCTCAGCTCAGAGTAATGCTCTTAAATGCATACAACAAAAGGCCACAAGATAGTTTCATAAAATACTAAAGCTATGATAAAGTAACACATGTGCTTCTTGATTCACACATTACATACGAGACTACACAATATTTTTTAGAACACCAAATTTATGATAAAACATGGGCTTCTTTTTTAACACATTAAATAATAAAATTTGTGGCAGGTCTAATAGCTACAGTAATTTTGAAGAAGTGGTGACCATAAGTGCTAGTAGTATGGACATCAATATAATGTGCCAGGAAAGTTTTTGATTCCTATCAGTGACAGACTCCTATTCAGTTACTGCTAGTACTATTGTGGTTTGTTATCTGCCTTTAACTAGATTTCTGTTAGTGTTTAGTTTAATGAAAATAAAGATGATTTTCTCCCCATCCAAAGTCATGAGCCCCCTGAATTCACTCACCCCAGATTAATAAGTCTTGCTTGTGTGTGTGTGTGCGATTGTGAAAGGCAGGGAACTGCCATTTTGTGTAGATGCAGAAATCCATGCTCAAAGAGTTGGTCAAGTGATTGTGTTGAGAAGGTGGATAGAGCTAATGCCAAATCTTCCAACCCAAACTCCTATTTCATTTATAGTTAAAATTAACTGAACACCTACTATGTGCAGACATTGTGCTGGCTCTGGTATAGAACAAGGAGAAGAGAGGATGATCCATGTTCATTTAACACAGAATTAACCATTTTTTTAAGTGTACAATTCAATAGCATTAGTTCATTCACGATGGTGTACAATCATCACCTCGATCTCTTTTAAAAAATTTTTATTACTGCCAGTGGAGACTCTGCACCCACAGTCAGTCCCTCTTCTTGCTCCCCTCCAGCGCCTGGCAGCCCCTGCTTTCTGTCTGTCTGGATTAGCCTACTCTGGATGTCTTGTATAGATGGAATCATACACTATGTAGCCTTCTTGCATTTGAGTCTTTTACTTAGCATACTGTTTTCAAAGTTTATCCACATTAGAATGTAGTGGTGCTTCATTCCTTGTTTTTGCCTGCCCAGCACCCATTCCTCATTTTTCTGGGGCGCACACCTCGATTTTATTTTGGAGAGTCATTCATCCTCAATGCTCAGTTTACTCGAGTTTGCACTCCCAGCACCAACATGGTATTAATCCCAATAATCCCAGCAATGTGACTTAGGTTGGTCAATCAGAACGTCCCATCTGCTTGCTGCTATAACTGGCTCAGGGGAAAGTGAGCAACTCTAGTTGAGTCTGAGATTAGGTCTTGAGATTTTGCTGGAACTATCAGGAAGAGGGGGTGACACTTTTCTTCGGGATTTTTGATGGAGAAAAATGAGAGCCAAGAGCTGCTGACACTCGCCTTGTCACCATGAATATAGAGGTTGATGGTGGAGGTAACAGAGAAGTGAGAAAAGGGGAGGAAAAATCTTTATGACTTTGAGACGCTGCATCTCTCTGTGCCTGACTAGCCCACTCAGTAATGTGCTCAGGCGTTCTGAGATGGGATTGTCACTTGCAGTTGAATAAAGTCCTGACTGATGTATTCGTGAACAATTTCAACCTCATCACTACCATGATGGATGCGAATGTCTTTAGGCATATACAGGGTAGGTCACCATGGGGTGGCACCCAAGTACTACCTCTCTCATTAGGCTGTTCTGCTCCCCCACTGTGTCTACAGGTCCTTGAACCTGCGTGGCAGATGTCATCACTGTGTTCAGATTGGAATCCCCTGTCTCCCCCCAGGTTCTCATTAGACCACGGCTTTCTCCTTTCTGCCTCGCTTCCAGGTCTTGGAACAGTGCAAGGCAACTGTGCAGGAAAGGTCTATTGTGAGGACCAGACTTCAGGGTATGGGAGCTGGAGATCTAGTCCTGCCCAATGGGTCATGCTGAATTCTAGAAATAATCCCTCCCAGCAGGCCTCCCACAAATGCACTTGCTGGAGGAACTGGCCAAAATTTCACTAATAAGTCAAGCAGAGGACCTGCACCTAGACATTGGCCACTCATTAAAAACACGATGATATGATACATTTCATTCTTAGCAAAATTGATGATAGTGTAATAAAAATGGGAGGCCACAGCTGCTGGTGAACAGACTTAATTCTGCTAAAATGAGCTTTTCATTGATAGTGCCTTATGGTCCTACCAGTAACCAGCAGGGGACTTTGGAAAATGATGCCCCAAGTCTCAGCTTCCCCTTGGTAAACTGGCAATGTTGGGCTAGGCCTGGGTCATCCAGTTACATCTCTACAGGGGTCAGATGGATGATGAAAGTGTAGGAAGCGGGCTGAGCATAAGTCAAGAGGGTAGGTGGAGTGTGGAAAGAAGTGGAGAATAAATGCACTTTCTAAAAAGCACGCCACTGCTTTAAAAGCCAAATGTATTCCTGGTTAAAGAAAACATCTCCCGAGGCTGGATCCAGCTCACGGGTCACCAGTCCTGATAATGCTGGGTAGGTAAAGCTTCAAATACTTTCCAGATGTGACTTCTCTATGTCTCCCTATTAGAGCTGGGAGGAAGGTATGGGGCAGGTATTACAGGAAAGGCTGGTAGCTCTTCGGAGGCCAGACAGAGGTCACCTGCCAGGACAGAAGGCAACCAGAAGACCAGGTATCTGAGGCCCTTGGCTTTGTTCTTTTCCTAATATAAATGGCCGTGTGCAACACCCACGCCCATGAGCAAAGCATGCTGTCTCTGGAAGTGACTCGGTGAAAGTTTTTGATACACTCACTATGTCACTCCATCAACAAAGACTTGACTCTAACTGGTTCTGAAAGGAAGCCCCGGAGTTTAGGAAAATAAAATCCTACCTCGACTCTAGTCGGTGGCAATGACAGGACAATTAGCACTTGACTATGCTTAATGCTTTAGATTTTAGATCAAATTTATATCAAAACTTACATGGTAACCAAGACTAGCAGAGAAAGAGGAAGAGAGGGAGGAGGAGCGTGAGGGAGAGAGGAGAGAATACAGGTGTGAGGAATCACAAAATTTTTCTTTACATGGACCGACTTTTAAATTTCATGTACCGTTATATGGGATGATAGCAGCGTCTTGCAATTTTAATGCAATGTCCCAGACCATAATATCTAAATACAATATTTATGCAGTAATCTCCAAAATGAAATATTCATGGGGTTGGGAGATTGGTTGCTGTGTTTACTGCATTCAAAAACTGATAAGCTGCAAGAGCATGCTTTGGTTAATTATGAGTAAATAGAGACGAGCATTCCCCAGGCCTCAGAGAAGCCGCTGATCCCTGGGTTGAGAGGGGCTACCGGGAACTCAGGTCCAGACTGGAAGAGAGTAGCAGAGGCCCAGTGTTTGGTATCTAGCAGGTGAAAGGAATCAGCTGTTTGGGCAGTGACTTGCCATCCCCCCGCCCTGTCTATTTGCTATAGCTTGAAAAGGTAAAGGTTGGAAATCAAGGCAAGTCAGTCAACATCTGGGTGTGTCTTCTCCTACGTGCTGGCTCCCCAGTAAAGGGTGCACAGGCAGATGCATTTGCAGCAGTGGCCCAATACACTCAATTGACCATTGATACTCTCCACCCTTCAGTTCCATTTCCAGTTGGCTTGGCTACCTAGGGGCGCTGGGGCAATAAATGGCCCCATAGAGCAGACCCCCAGAGGATCTGGTTCTCAGCCTGCTGAGATGTGAAGCTGGTGTAAACTCATCACAATGAGTCCTGACACTCTGGAATCAGCCATGAGAGCATGGTGGAGGACAATCACAAGGGTCCTTGCGGGGTGTCTAGTAAGCAACATTCACCCAAGCAATGGACCGACTGACCTCTGGGAAACACCATTCACCCCAGCAATGGACCGACTGACCATAGCGACCACATCCCTCCATACCCCTCACAGCCCTGTGCTCCTTTTACACTTCTCTTTTCTCCAGAGTTCTTTTCACTTCCTGCTATCACACACAAGGTAGTCATCTAGTTGACTATTTCTTCCTACCAGATGTAAGTCCCAGAAGGGCACAGATTTTTGTGTATTTCTATTCATTGCTGATTCCTAGTGTCTAGAACAGTGCCTAGCACACAGTTGGTGCTCCATAAGTATTTACTGAGTGGATGAATTAAGAGGAGAGCAGCAGCACACTTGCCAGGCTGTCGGGAAGGAGCAGCCATAGTTACCCAGGTAACGGCATGTCCCGACACACACTTGGCAGGTGAAGGAAATGAAAGGCAGAAAGGTGAAAGAAATTCCGCAAAGTCACCTTTAGCCCATCCTCCTGGACTTGAATCCAGGTCTGGGTGAATCCAATGCAAATTCTTAACTGCTCTGCCAGTCTTCATCTGTCCTGACCCATCCAGTTTCCCCCAGAAGGATGTAAAGAATGGACCCCGAGGAAGGATTGAGAGGATGAATCTGAGAGCTTCTAGTGCCACCGATAGACACTGCCCAGAGATGACAGAACCAAGGGAAAAGGGCTCACTGCTGGTTTGCGGAGAGGCTTTCTGCCACTGTTCTCAGGGGACTTGTCTTCAGAACAGGCTACTTATGGGTAAATATGGCTTTACCTCCTCGATGCTCAGGGATGGGTGGTTTGCTTTCCTGAGATTTTTTTCCCTACTGCACAGTAAGGGACAAAGGCAGAGCTTGCCATGATTTTACT